GCTTTATAATAAGTTTTGAAGTTAGGTAGCATCAGTCTTTCAACTTTGTTTTTCTTCAGAATTGTGTTGGCTATAGTGGATATTGTGCTTCTCCTTATATACTTGAGAATCAATTTGTTGATATTCATAATATAACTTCCTGGGATTTTGATTGGGATTGCATTGAATCTATAAATCGAGTTAGGAAAAACTGACATCTTAATAATACTGAGTCGTCTTGTCCACAAGCATGGAATATCTCTTCATTTATTTAGTGCTTGGATTTTATTAGAGTTTTGTAGTTTATCTCATATAGATTTTGTACATATTTTGTTAGATTCATGCCTAAATATTTTATTTATTTTGCTGCAATGTAAATAGTATTGTGTTTTCAATTTAAAATTCCACATGTTCATTGCTGGTATATAGGAAAACAATTGACTTTTGTTTATTAACCTTGTACCCTGCAACCTTGCTATAATCACTTTTTAGTTCAATGTAGAGTTTCTTTTTTTTGTCAGTTCTCTCAGATTTTCTGCATAGATTATTATGTCATCTGCAAACAAAGACAGTTTTATGTATTTTTTTGAAATATATATATATAATTTTATTTTCTTGTCTTACTGCATTAGCTAGTACTTCCAGTACAGTATTGACAAGGAGTGGTGATAGGGGACCTCCTGATACTAGTGGGTAAGCTTTGAATTTTTCACCATTAAGCATGATGTTAGCTGTCTGTTTTTTGTAGATATTCATTATCAAATTGAGGAAATTCCCCTTTATTCCTAGTTTATTGAGAAGGTTTAGCATTCTTAATGGGTGCTGGAATTTGTCAAGTGCTTTATCTCTGAACATGTATATTTTCTTCTTTAGCCTACTGATGTAAGGGTTACATTAACTGATTTTTGAATGTTCAATCAACTTGCATATCTAGGATAAATCCCACTTGATATTGATATAAAATTTTTTCATACATTGTTGGATTCAATTTGCTTATATTTTGTTGAAAATTGTTGCATCTATATTTACAAGAGATATTGGTTTGAGGTTTTCTTTTCTGATAATATCATTGTCTGCTTTATGTATTAGGGTAACGTTGGCCTTGTAGAATGAGCTGGGAAGTATACTGCTTTTAGAAAAATTATATAATTTCTTTCTTAAAATTTAGTAGACTTCACCAGTGAACCTATCTGGGCATGGTACTTTCTCTTTTGGAAGATTATTAATTACTATTTTAATTTCTTTAATGGATATAGGCCAATTAAGATTGTCTATTTTTGTATGAGTTTTGGCAAATAGTATCTTTCAAGCAGTTGGTCCATTTCATTTATCTAAGTTGTGTCCTTAGAGTTGTTCATGTATTCTTTTATTATCCCTTTAATATCTATAGTACCTGTAGTGATTTCCCCTCTTTTATTTCTGATATTAGTTATTTGTGTCCTGTTTGTGTTTTTTTCTTAATTAGCTTGGCTAAAGGCTTATCAATTTTATTGATGTCTTCAAAGAAACAGCTTTTTTTTTAAAATGTATTTTTTAGTTTTTCCAGCTTTATTGAGATAGACTAACAAAAATGTATATTTATGGTGATGATTTTATATATGTATACATTGTTATAGGATTATGACAATCAAATTAATTAACATCCACACTTTACATAATTACATTTTTGTTATTGTGGTAAAATACTCATAACATAGAACTTACTATCTTAACCATCTTTAAATGTACAATTAAATGATAATAAATTTCATATGGTTGTGCAACCATCACCACCATACATCTAAAGAATACTTTCATCTTGCAAAACTCTGTACTCATTCAATAATAACTGCTCCTGACTCCATCTACCTTAGACTCTGGCAACTAACACTCTAATTTTTTTTAAATCTTCCCTGTCCCCCACAAGTCAGCTGATGAGCAATATTCTACTCTCTGTTATTATAAGTTTGGAGATATATATATCATCCTCTCCACATATAAGAGAGATTATGTAATATTTGTCTTTCTGAGTCTGGCTTCTTTCATTTGGCATAATGTCCTCCAGGTTCTTTTGTCTTGTTGCAAATGGCAGGATTTTGTTCTTTCTCATGGATTAATGTTATACATATATGATCACATGTTATTTATACATTTATTCATCAGTGGACATTTAGGTTGTTTCCATATTTATTTATGGAAATATTAATAAATATTCCATATTTAATAATGTGAATAATGCTACAGTGACAATGGGAGTGCAGATATTACTTCACAATAGTGAATTTATTTCTTTTGGATATATGCCCAGAAGGGGGGTTTCTGGATCAAAGGAGGTTCTTTTTTTAAGTTTTAAGGAATAAGCATACCATTTTCCAAAATGGCTGTATCAGTATACATTTCCATCAGCAGTATATAGGTTCCCTCTTCTCCACAATCTCATCACTTATTAAATTTTGTCATCTTGTTAATAGCCATTCTATCAAGTGAGAGGTGATATTGCATTGTGCTTTTGATTTGTAGTTCCCTGATGATTATTGATGTTGAACATCTTTTCACATATGCATTGGTCATTATGACTTTGGAAAAAATGTCTATTCAAATTTTTGGCCATATTTAAATTGAATTATTATTATTATTATCATCATCACATTGAGTTTTAAGTGTTTCTTATATATTTTGAATATTATTCCTATTGTTTATATGGTTTTCATATATTTTCTCCCATTCCATGGGTTGTGTTTTCAGTTTGTTGATTGTTTCATTTGCTGCGTGGAAACTTTTTAGTTTGATG